TCTAGCAGGCAGCAACCCTGTCCTCTCAGCCCCCCAAGTTCCCACAGCTGCTGCCCCCTGGACAATTGCACGCAGCAGGAGCTCCAAAACTGCCATGGCTGGAATGGTCGCGCCTGGGGAGTTGCCCAGCTCCCTCTGTAGCCCACATGCCACAGGGGCCACACGTCATCTCTGGAGACTCCAGCAAGCACATCCTGTGCCCCCACATACATGGCGGTCTGGGGGGCTCCCTGGTGGTAGAGGGGCAACTGTGAGACCAGTCCTGTGAGTGTGCTCAAAAATACTTGCTGAGCACCTACGGTGTGTGGCATATAAAGGTAAGCAAATAGGGAACTCGGCTTAGGGGGAAAGACATGTTAACAGAGAGCGCCTGACCCGGCACCGAGGGCCAGGGGAGCCAGCCACCACCCTGCCAGCAGCCACCGCTGCAGACCCCAGGCCCACTCACGCACCTTCCTTCAGCCGCCCACCCGGGCTCTGCAGTCTGCCCTCACCCCATCCCTGCCCCTGGCACCCTTGCCCGATAGAGGCAAAGACTCCAGCTAAAACTACTTCGTAGCATGTCATGTAACCTTAACTTGTGAGTCACAGCTCCTCTTCTGTGAGATGGAGATAAGGAGGGAGGCCCTCCCCCCGGGGACTGCGAAGATCAGCAAGTTAATGGCCAGGCAGAGGAAAGTCCTGGATGTGCACTTGCATGGCTCAGGAACGTGGAAGGCCCTGAGCACCGGCTGGACTGCCGGGGCACTCTCTGCAGAGGCAGCTGCAGGGCAGGACCGGTGCCCAGCCCCAGCACCAGCCTAGAAGGGCATCTCCTCCCTTTCCCATCCTAAGATGCCCACTCAGCTCCGTTCCCCGCAGACCCTTTACGCAGGGATGGGCTACATCCTCAGACTGGCCGTTGGGGTGGAAGGATCCAAAGGGTGGCCCATGACCTCAGTCTCTAAAGGTGGATATAGCTTTGCCCTCCAAAGTTAGGGCTTCCTGCCACTTACCTTGGCTTTGCTCCTTTTCAATGGGTGAGGTGAGACAGGAGCTCAAGCCAGCTATACCTGCAGACCAGAGAGAAATAACCTTCCTCCCACACATGGGTTCTCAGTGGACTTTCAACCCACGCCACTCTCCCCTCCTGCAGTCCCCACACTCTCCTCCTATACCCCTGCGATCCTTGGGGCTGGAGTGGCTCTAGGTAGACAGGGAGGCAGGTCAATAGGGAGGCTGGTACAAAGAGACAGGTCCGGGGAAGCTCTCCTAAATAAATCGTGACTAACTAAACACACGCTGGGTCCCTGGAACTCAGGCACAGACGTACACGCACTACCCCCAAAAGCCCTTCTTTGCTCTGCAAAGGGCACCCAGCTGAAGCACCTCACAGGGTCCAGATTCAAACACAGTCTGTCTCCAAAGCCCAGTGGTTCCCACTCAAGACTGCATGTAATAATATCCAACTCAGGGACCCTGAAGCTTAAATAGGGCCAGCTTAGGTGTGGACAGTGATTTTTGTCCCCTGCACTAAGTGCCCAAGTAGCCAGAAGACTCCACCCAGCTAGAAATGGATGTGTCCTCTGACAGGGGTGTTCCTGAAGAGGGCAAGCATAGCTGCTGCTTCTCTAACTGCTTGAGTGGGATGACACTTAAACGACCCCGCTTATGAGTCTTGTGCAGCCAAGGGCCAGCTCTAAGTGACCCTGTGGGCACCTGAGTGCAGCAAAGGAGTAAAGGCATCTTTCATGAGACAGAATAGTGAGAAGGGAGCCTGCCTTGTGGACGAGTTGTAGGGATAAAACAACATAATGCAAGAACGGAGCTTCAAGGAGCGCCTGGCAGACAGTCAGCTCTCACTGTATGCTGACTCCCAGCATACAGACACTGACTGTATGCCAGTGTCTCCCAGGCCAGAGGGCAGGGGGGACACAAAATAGGGGCCAGCTTAGGCCTGGGCTCCTGGCCAGGTGCTAGTTTCTATCTGGGGACCTGAGAGGTTCTTGCAGCCACAGGCTTGAAATGTTCTTGGTCTCCGTTCTTGCTCCCTCTAGCCACTTCCTCCTCTCCACACAGCACCTGGCTCAACCTCCATGATCCCCTCTAAACCAGGACTGCAGCTCCGCATCCATCTCTCACAGAGCCAGTGACCATTTACCCAGATCCGGACTCCTGCCCACCTTCCTGCCTGGTGTGGACGGCCCTATGGAGGGGCTGTAGGGAGAGAGGCGCCCTGCACACAGAGCTTTCTTTGTGTTTGCTGACACACATGTGGCCATATCGCCCACCACCCTCAGCTCTGCACCCTGCCCACTTGATTCCAGGCTCTGGGGTCGTTCTCCAGAGGGGGGTTCTTATCTGTCCTCATTTTCCTTTCCACCCTTCCCACAAGTTACTTCCTGCAGACCTACTCTGTGGTAGCCCAGGCCCTGAAGATTCGCAGGAGGCTCAGTCACTGGGGCTGTGCTCTCCAGGGTCAGCAGTGGGCTGCACACCATGCAGCAGCACTTCTCCCTCTCCAAGCGGGGCCAGTGGCTTTCTGGCTTTCCACTGCTGGGCCCTGGGCCTTGGGGGCCATCTGATTCCACAGGTCTGAGGTGTTTGCATTTCTAGGTGCTGCTGGTCTAGGGGTCAGATTTCGAGAACTGCTCCTCCATAGGCTTTGATCAGAGAAGAGAGAAATGCAGGGACAGGGCGCACAGAGGAAACAGTATAAACAAAGGCCTGGCTGCTCCAGGAAGTAAAGGGACATGGACGCTGGAAGGGCGCATGAGGCTGGGGGGAGGGGCCAGTGGGTGGCCACGCCCCTTCCCTCTGGCTCACCAAACAGCTCCTCTGTGCCAGGTGCTCCTGGCAACTCTGCCAGACTCTTTGGGCTGCAACCCAAGCCTGTCTTCCCTTCTGCAGCTAGGCAGCCGCTCTGCCCTGGGCCTGGCCCTCACAGGCTGCTGTGGGCGGCTGTCAGTGCCTCTGCCCGCCCTCCCTGGGCAGCTCCCCGGGGCGCTGCCAGGTGAGCCAGCATGCGCCCTGCGGGCGTGGGCGGCTGGGGCTGAGCGCCCGCCATGCCCCAGCCCCTCTATCTCAGCATCTGGGGCTGGGTGTGTGTTTGTTGCTGCTTGAGCCAGAGCAGTTACTATGCGTCGGTAATAATAGCAGTCGTAATCCCTCATAATTGGACCAGACTTTGCTGTCTGCAGGGCACTTCCCTGCCCATGACCTCATCTGACTTCCACAAGCACCCTGTAAAACAGGCACAGCTAGGGTTAGAGCCCCATTTCACAGCTGCGCAAATGCGAGCGCAGAGGGCTGGAGCCAAGCCACAGAAGGCGGCATCCTCAGCCTGGGACCTGGCACTTCTGGCTCCTGGTGCAACGCCTGCTCTGCCCTGCATAGTGGGTAGGGGCACTGCTCTCGGGAGGTAGCGGGCTTTGCCGCCCGGGGCGCAGGGCACAGCAACGGGAGTTGGGCCGGCTGTCCCACCTTCCCCACGTGTGTGAGGCAGCTGACCGCCAACTGAAGCGTATGGAAGCGAAGCTGTGTCAGCACCAGTGAGGACACAGGCGGAAAGGGAGCAGGGTCACCTCGCCCAACAGTGGAGCAAAGCCAGGCTCCCAGAGGGGAGGGAATTACCCATGGCCACAGCTGTCACTCGAGAGCACAGGTGGCTGCAGGTGGCCAGAGTCTATGGCCACAGGGGGCATCCCAGCGGGGCAGCTCAGGAGGCATGAGGGATGACCACAACTGTCTGTCCTTGTTCCACGGGGTCAGAAAGAAAGGGACTGAGCTGTATCCTACGAGCCCGCCCAATGGCCACAGCACATTTTCTCCCCAGCTTGCTGTGTGCGCACCCCACAGCACTCCGCAGGGCTCCAGGCTGGGAGGCCAGTGCCTGGGCTTCACGCACATGCGTGTGTGTGTCCGAGCGGGGAGGGGAAGGTGCCGACCCAGGAGGCAGAGATCAGGCTCTCGTCCAGACCTGCTGCCAAGTCCTGGGCTCAGCTTCTTGTCTGCAAACCAGGGCCGCCTGTGCTTGCCCCACTTGTTTCAAGGGTTACCCCCAGGGATGGGAGACTGAACCACACTCTAAGAAAAGCCAGCCCAGGACACAGCCATGCCCACTTGGAGCGGGTGAGCAGGGAGAGATGTCAGAGTGGCCCCAGGTGAGCTGATGTTCCCAAGTGCCCAGGTGCTCTGCGTCCGTGCTGGTTCTAGAAGGGCAAACAGTGGCCTATGAGCACGCTCTGCTACTCCCAGACACCACCCAACACCACTTCTCACCCTGCTCAGGGGAAGGAAAGCATGCAGGAAAGTGTGGGGGAAAAGCAACAAAAGAGAGGCCTTGGCCATCACAGTCTTCCCGAAGGGCAGCCCTGGAGTTCCACTGACAGAGGGAGGAAGTAGGGTCCGGGTGCTGGATGAGGGTGGCTTTGCCTGCAGGCGGTACAGCCTGTCCTAGGCAGCCGGGCAGGCCCCAGGAGGGTTCCGGCCGTGCTGTGCTTCTGACTGCTTTGTGCTCCTCCTGGAGCACATGGGGCTCTGCAGACAAGGAGGTCGCCAGTTCCATGATCAGCAGTGACACACGGAGCCTCGGGTGGGGGCGGGGGCAGGAGATCACCGCGGATGGCAGTGTGCCTGCGTCTGTGCGGGAGAGGTAGCGCCCGAGGGCAGCCTCGCAGCTAGCATGCCCCCATCCCACAAAGCTTGTCTTTGGCCTCCCAGAAGGTTCCGAACACTAAAACAGGATGCCAGCTAGTGAGAGGCCGACCACCATACGGGCCAAGTCAGGGACCGTCTGCAAGGCTGACCTGTCTCCACCACTCGGCTCTGAGGTGGGAGGCGGCTGGTTCGGGGCCTGACTGCTGGGCTCTAATCCCTGCTCCAGCACCAGGATGTCACCTCTCCAGTCCACTTCCTCGGGGCCTAAGTGAGCTAAGCAGCGTGCGCACTGTCATCACTCAGAGGAGGCTGCTTCCCTCCCAGGATGCCCGAAAGGTCCCCAGGTGCTGTCAGCTGCTCACCTTGCGGTCCTCGTCTCGCTCCGGAGCGGAGCTGCTGGTGTCCCCGGGGCCGCTGGAGGGCATTGCGGGCAGCTGGGTGGTGGGAGGCAGGCTGGGGCTGTGCGGGGCTGGGGGGCTGCTTGGCTTTGGGGAAGGAATTATCGTGGTCTTTGTAAGTATTAAAACTTAGACATAGATCCTGGTACTGAGCCCTCCAGGGAAACTGCCGCAGGCTGCCTGTGACTTTTGGCTTCTGGTGGCTCCACCTGTAGGGAAAGAAGAAAGGGGTGAGCAGGGCAGGGCACCCCCAAACCCAGGCCCCAACTGACTCCCCACATGACCTGGGGCAAGGCCTTCTACCCAGGCCATGGTGGCCTGAGAGGCCTATCCACCAACCTCACTCTTCCCAGCTCACCGGCCACTCAGGTCAGCCCAGCACCCCAGGGAGCAGAGAAACTGAGGCAGACCCGGCTGACTGGAGCAGCACTTCCTGATTTCCCACAGGTTGCCTCCTGCCTCTGAAGGCAGAAACAGTCTCCCCAGGCCTCTGCGTTGCTGTGGTAGAGTGGGTGCCACTTCTGGGACTTCCAGCTGCCACCCACTTCCTCCCTTCTCTTCATTCATGTCTGTTCTTTCCTTTGAAAGCTTCCTGCACCCTCCCTGCCACCCCAGCCACCCCCCTGGGAAATCCCAGAGGTCCCCAGACAGGCTACATTTTCCTTCTAATCTGTCCTCCCCACACACCCCACCCCCACACACTCCCACCACGTGGAGGAAGTGAGTGTCAGTCACAGGATGTAGTGAAATGAATGTCATCTCACTTTAGGACCAGCGCCTGGGCCTGCAGAAAGCTGAGGTTGAACTCAGGCTGTGGCCAGCTGAAGGCCTAGGTGACAGTGCTGTCAAGAGCCCGCCCTGGAGGGTGGAGGCCACAGCCCAGGCCACACTGCAAGAGGAGGTGAGGCCGCTCTTGCCCCCACCCCATGAAATGGCCCTATTTGCCTTTGGAAACTGGTGGGGCTTGAGGGGGCCCTACCAACCCACAAAGCTGAATTTTAGGGGCTTTTCACCCTCCCTGCTTCAGGTGTGGGCCTCAAGCCAGTGAAATAACAAAGCGTGCCTTGGGCCTCAGCTGGGGGTGGGAGTATTGCAGCTTCAACTCTCTTCACTCAGAAACACAGAGTTCTCCTGCTCCCCACCCCCCAGGAGGAGACCTGGCCAAACCCCTCCAGAGTGCCAGGGATTGGCAGGAGAAGGAAAGTGGGAGGCAGGTTGGATCTGGGCCCACCCACACCCTTCCCCTTTCAGTTCCCGGTTCTGCTTCCCTCAGCCCCCTCCCTCTGGGGCCTCTCCTCCCATCCCCCTTAGCCAGGGCTCCCTGGAAAACCAGGAACCAAAGAAAGCACACAGGCTTGGGTCTCCCACAGTGCAGCCTTTTCTCTAGGGTGGGTGTTTGCTAGGAGGTGGGTGGCCCAGTCCTGGCTCTGCCCCTGGCATGGAGGAGGGCCCTGGGGCTGGGAGGAGCTGCTTCAGGACGGTACCCAGCGGTGGAAAGCAGCCCAGAGGTGAGCACAGACCTAGAGCACACCTTTGGAGGATCTCAGCACAGTGCTGGGCTCCTGGGGCACGTCTGCCAAGTACACAGTGAGGGGATGGCAGCAGCGAGGGGCGCTCTGGGGTCGGAGTCCGTCCGTGCTGAGCGCTACTAGTGTGAACCAACCGTAGTCCATAGTTGCATCTAAGGCTCTACAAGCTGAAGATGTGTCCATATCCCATGTCAAGGTGGAGTCTTGAACTGGGATCTTCAACTCTAAGGCTAAGTCTCTATCGAGCCCGACCCCCCAACTTATACCGCTGCACAGAACACTATGAGGGCCCCATAAGCGACCTGGTTGGACTCTGTGCCCCTTGAGGCCTCCAGCTGCCATTAGTGACTCCCCTCATGCCCCCCTCAGGTGTCAGCATAAACATCCCCCATCGCCCCCACATCAAAACCATTAAAAGGAGGCGGAAATGAAGAGTCAGAGTCTAGCGGGAAAGAACACTGACCCCAAAGTCAGCAGAAGTAGGTTCTGCTCCTGACTGGGACTTATCTGGCCCCCAGTTTCCTCATCAGTGAAATGGGGGAGCCGGACTAGATGAGTGAAATGGGAACCGTTGGTGAGATGATCTTCTGGCTTGGCTGGGCTCTGCCCTGCCTCACTACTGGAGGCCTCAAGGGCAAAGGGGCAAGCAGACAAGACTGGAACATCTTCAGCAGCCCCCAAGGGCCCCCAACCTGAGACTTGGAGGCCCAAGTAAAGTAAAAGGTGGATTACCCCCTGCCAGATGTTTGTTTCAATGCTGCCCTAAGGCCTAGAAATATGCAGGAGACTTCTGTGAGGAAAAAAACCACTTTCAGCTTCTACTACTGGTTGCCAGTGAGAAGAGGAAGGAAGCAAGAAAAAAGGTCAAACATGACATGGCGCTGACCCCAAGTGGAGACACCCCAAAAAGGAAAGAAATTCTCTTCCTCCTCCCTCCCTCCCTCCTCCCCTCCCACGCAAGACCCTGATATCTGAACTGCATACACTGGCCTCACAGCAAACTCAGCTGATCTGGGTCAGTTTTCAGGGGCCTTTGTGTTATTCTGTGGACCAGTCTGTCAGTAAGTGTCCCTCAAAATCACCCACGATGATCGAAAACCACCCAGCACATGGTTGGGCAGCTCGCGCTTCACAACTCCAGGAGCCCATTGTGAGGGCAGGGGCCAGATCCTGCTCCCCACAGCGCCTCCCATCTGCCCTCGGGAGCCTCCTTGTCTCAAGCAGCCCAGGCCAGGTATGTTTCCTGTCCACCATGGTGGTCCTTCCCCAAAACCGTCCAACATCTGTTCCTTACACCAAGGCCTCCTCCCCACCCAGGCCTCAGGCCCCACCATGCAAACTGACACCAAAAAGCAAATTGTACCCACGACCAGCCACTTTTACATTCTTCCTGACATGTTTACTCTCCACAGTCGCCATGAGTAATATTTATAACAACAACTTAAAATATTTTTAAGGAATCCCCAACAAAAATGTCTCAGTATCACAACTGGCAGCAGTTTCACCATCATCACAATTTCCTTACAAAATTTGCATGGTTAAATCTTTACCCTATGTTACTGTAGCACTTTTTGCAATAGCTAAGATATTGAAACCACCTAAATGTCACCAAAGAGATGAATGGAGCAAGAAGGCATAGTACATATACACAATGGAGTACTACTCAGTGATCAAAAAGGATGGCATTTGCAGCAACATGTATGGAGCTGGAAGGAATTATGCTAAGCAAAGTAAGTCAAAGGAAAAAGATAAATATTGGATGGCTTTACTTATAGGGAAAATACAGGAAACCAAACAAAGATTCAGGACAACGACAAAGTTTGCAAACTGATCATAGATTTGAGGCATACAGCAGAGGACGGGGAGGTGGAGGGACGAGTACCAGGGACAATGGTGATGGATCATGGATACTATGTACAACACCTGAGGAGAAAAATCAAGTCCGGTACAAAAACAAACAATGAAATAAAAACAATAAATACACTTTAGAATACATATGCATAATAGGATCCTTCAAAGACACCTGACCTGACAGCACCAGTTACTTCCGTTGAGGTGATACATGTGTGAAAACAAAGAGGACTGAGTGAAAGAAGTAAACTACCCAGACCCACACCAGACAGAGTTGACTGGAACAGTTAGGAGTGAGCGGGCCAGAGTCAGGATTGTACAAAACCAAAGGGACCATTTACATGCTAATGGTAAGTCCCCGTGGCTATCCCTCCACTCTGCTTCTAGAACACTGGCAGCCAGATCCTGGTTTTTTTCTGAGGGACCTAATCAGTCCAAAGAGAAAAACCTGAGGATAGAGATGATGGCCCCGGACCCACATGGTGCCAGAATGGCTCGTTCAGGTCAAGCAGTGTTGGTCTGCAACTCAGCAAGCCCATCACTGTCCTCAGTTTTCAATCAGCTTTCTGACTCCTGTTCTTAATCCTGAAAGGACAACCAAAGACTACAGACATCCCAGAGAAGTATCTCACTTGGAAGAGAGACACAAATAAATCATCAAAGCCCAACAAAACACAACTTGGAGGAGACAGACTTTATGTACAAAGAAGTTCATGAAGCAAGAAAGTGATGCTATTTTAAAAAGAACATTTTTTAAATAGCAGAGAACAGAAAAAGAACTTGTACGAGTCATGCTAATATAAATGCAAAACTCAATAGAAGGGGTATACTTAAAAAAAAAAAAAAAAGACAGAAAATAGGACAGGATGAAAAAGAGAATTACTGAGTTGGTCCCCAAAACTCCACATGTGAAAAATAAGAGTTGCAGATAGAAAAAAAAAAATCATTGGACAGAACATTACCAATGAAATAATCCAGAAGAATTTCTCAGAACTGAAAGACATGAGTTGCCTGTTTGAAAAGGCCTGCTGAGTGTCCAGCAAGATGGAGGACAAGAGACCCTTGCAAGGCACAGCTCAGTGAGACTTCAGAACAGTGAGACCAAGAGTCTACACATTCCTGGAGAGAAAAAAAGTAACCTATAAAGTTTCAGGAATCAGAATGGCTTCAGAGTGTTCAATATGAATAATCAAAGCAAGCAAAGGAGCAATAGCCTTGAAATTCTTTTTTTTAAAGATTTATTTATTTATTTATACAGAACTGGGGTATAAGTCAGAGATACAGGGGCGGTGAGAGGCTTCACCAGAGAAGGAGTGGGGAGCAGAACAGCAGATTGACAAAGTACACTGGTGAGGGGAGCAGCGGGCAGTCAGGAGAGGTCTGCCACACCATGTGGATCATCTCCGGGGCAGGGGATCGAACTCACACTGAAGTGGCTGTGGCTGGCTTGCAGTGCTGAGTCCTAACCTGTTGTGTCACCAGGGAGAGCCAACCTCCATATTCTAAACAATCAATTCTTCCAGGCCCTCCCTGGTGGCGCAGCGGGTTAAAACGCAGCACTAAGAAGCTAAAGCCACCTCTGCATGAGTTCGATTCCCAGCCCCAGAGGTGACCCACACGGCACAGTAGACCTTTCCTGACCTGCCCACTGCTCCCCTCAGCAGTGTACTTCGTCAATCTGCCTGACCTGCTCCCCACTCTTCTCTGGTGAATCCTCTCACCACCCTTGCGCCTCTGGCCAGTACCCCAGTTCTGTATGAATAAATAAATCTTTAAAAAAAAGTTCGGCCCACCCTGGTGGTGCAGCAGGTTAAAACAGCACTGGGAAG